CCGCCTTTCTTATTCCAAGTACTCAAGAAAGGAAGAACGCCTGTCTATTCCGTCACCCCAATATAATCGGGATGAATATGCTGTTATGAGTTAAACACAATCATATTTTCTTTGAGTTCGTCGGTGCTGTCAAATGAAGATGATCCTGAATTTCCGTACATCCCGAACACGCCAACTGAGCGATGGTAGGATAAACTTCTACGAAAATATTGAACCCAAAGGAACCTTGATAGGAACATAAGTAACATACTCTCCCTAGATGATATTGTCCGCAGAGAATATAAGGTATTGAACGAACCGAAGTCCCCAGAACTAGACGAGATCCCACCCAAGCTTCTCAAAGAACTTGTCAATGAGTGAATTCCGTAAAAACGATCAGTGCGCACCCCTCTATCTTCAGTAATTCTCCGCAAAGTTAAGGAAAAGATCATGAAGAGTGAATTGGTGCAATTTCTGAAAGTTCACGATTTGCTATCGAACTGCCAATATGGGTTCCGGAAGGGAAGAACCTGAACGACAAATCGGCTACAATCTTTCATGAGCTTGACAGAGCTCTAGACGACAGCCACGCGGTCCATATGGCTTTCATTTACATCCAGAAGGCGTTCAACACTGTGGCACCCCAGAAACTGTAATACAAGCTTAAAAATCAGGACCAAATGCAGTGTTCTCAAATGGATCAAAAAATTCCTTGCGCGTCGACAGCAGATTGTGTACATCGGTCAAGGTAAATTAGATCCTGCTGTCGTCGAGAGTGGTGTTCCCCAGGGTTCAGTACTAAGACCCATTCTGTTCCTAATATATGTGGACGATGCCACAAGAGCTTTGACTACGAAGCAGCAATGTTTGCCGACGACATGAAGATACGGATTGTAATTGGGGCACTGCCGACGAAGACAGACTGTAGATGAACCTTAAACGGTTAGAAGAATTGTCAAACCGTTGCTTCCAGCAATTTCACGTTGGTAAGTGTATCATACTTCGCGTAAACAACACAGCCATATTCGCCAGCATAGGAGACTACTTTCTGGACAGTGCAGCATTACGAGAAGTCCAGGCCCAAAAGGACCTCGGTGCGCTGACGACGAATTCATTAAAACCATCCTCTCATTGTTCGAGAGTGGCCGAAAGCGCAATGTCCGTACTGTATACTACCAAGCGAGCATTTATGGATTTTGACGAAGACCTTTTCTCAAGTACTTTCGGATCATTCGTGCGGCCGCACTTGGAATACGGCATGCAAGCCTGGAAGCCGTGGGCAATTCAAAATCAAAGTTGCCTCGAAAGAGTTCAGAGGAGATCCACGAAGACTGTTAGGGGTCAAAGCTCATTTCCCTATGCTACCCGCTTAATAAATCTGAACCTCTCCCCTTGAGTTTTAAGCAACTTCGAGGGGATCTCGTGCAAGCATTGCGCATAGTGAAGGAGTTAGATTACAGCCTGGTCTTTGAGGACTTTATCGAATTTGCTACCACGAGCAGCCTCCACGGTCACCCGCTTAAACTGCGCACTCAGCAGGCAAGGCTGGATGTGCGGAAGTTCTCCTTCTCTGTTCGAGTGGTCAAACCATGCGATGTTCTCCCTGCAGATGCTGCGATTTCAGCATCGATACAAAGCTTTACAAATAGCCTTGACATATTTATGTTCTCAAATTATCAAGAGCGATGAGAGATAGAGCTCACCACCCTTGACTCACTTTCCTTTTGCCATACCATCATGAGCTCGTTTTAATGATTTCAGATCAGCCAATTTCTCTGTCGAACGCGCCCAGTTTTACGTCGCAAATAGGGTACTCAAAGGGTCACACCTATTTCCTTCAATAAACTGAATTTAACTGAACATTCAGAATAAGCCAGGAAATTATGTGACTTACGATTAGCTTCACAGCCGTAAAAGAGCAAAAGGGACTTAAAAACGTGAGTATCTGGACAAAAGCCTATTACCAGGAGTAGAAAAAATTGCTCCAAAAAACTCAAAAACAGTCCGGTTAAGACCAAAATTTTCCCTGGATTATCGTATAAAGTAAAGTACTATTGTTCTATTTGAATTTATGAGCCGCGATGACTATCACCAGCCTTAAGATGATTCCGTTGGCCTTAATGAACTCTGGAATGGTCTCCTGCATTGGCAAAGGGTTGATGGGAACAAACATCTGGATTATGACATGTAGCCGCCCCAGTTCATTTCAGTTATTCGACGACAAATG